TTTGTCTGCACATTTGGCATAGCTAATATCTGGAGCCTTCCTTGCAGGTCCTCTTTTTGTATTCATATTGATAATGGTACGGTTTACATTTGGAAGATCAGGCTTGGAATCCTGGGTCAAACAACATCCAAAAGCTCTAGAATATTAACTTACATAAAAAATTAAATTTCTAACATGAAATAAAGCTACTCGTAAAATAACCACCAGTCCTTCGGAGGCAGCTTAATATAAGCTGCAGGCCCCTCCATTTGTTGGAAAAACATCAAAACGCAAAACCACAAATTGGAGGAGAAGCTCGACCGAAAATCGCTTCAGCGGTTACAAAGCGCAATTATATTATATATATGTACGTCATGGCTCGTAAGCCCTGTAATTGGAATATCGAGTTGTCCGTACAGCTTAACGCCATCTTTCGCTCTTCAAATTATAAGATGCTAGGCGGAGTATGTATACTCTTTCGTTCAGTTCAAAAATAAACTCAATTCAAGAACAATTTTCTTGTAAATCGATTTAGTTTTCAACTCCATGAAAAGCTAAAACTGAGGGTCAACCCACAGGGGTAAGCTATTTAACCCATCACATCAACGCCTATGCAAATTTAATGAGTTGCACACGTGCAAGCGATTTCACCTACGCGACCAACTATTTAACATCCAAGCTGTGATGAAGAGTATGCAGAAATGTGTGACTCAGACTCACCACAAGTAAAAAACACAGCAGAAACTTGTGGGCAAAAGCCGTCATTGCAAATGTGGTTTAAACCCTTCAAACACTCTTGTGTACTATTTATGTTTCTTAAAAGAGTAGAGATGTGAGTCGAACTTAACCTCAATAGCACTCAGGAACAGTCAAAAACTGTCAACCAATCAGCCAAGCAGCCATTTAGCCAGCGAGCCACTTAATCACAAACCCACTCTGTTATGTATGACCTAAGTCACGCACACCAGCGAATAACTCATAACGCCAGCCGCATTTCTCAAGTTGCCCAGCGCCACAAAACGACATGACACAACCGGCGTTTGGGCTTAATGAAAAATGTTTTCAATGCTGAAAAGCGAAAGTAATAAATGTTTGAAATTTCAGTACGTAAATGGCAAACGCAGGAAGGATACACACAAATAAGCGCACACATAACTCAAGTGTCTTCATCAAGCGCGTAAACCCTTTGGGAGGCGTCATCAACCAGCGCCAACCACCGTCAGCCGTCGCCATCGGCTCCATGCTTTTTGTTCGCATGAAAAATTAAAATGTTACGCTTATCTGGTTACTTCGTAGAAACTGTAATTATGAATGTGTAGCAAGTGAATTGGTCGTCTCTTAATTTTAAGCGTCAAAGCCAAATAAAATTGTGTTGCCTAAAATTATGCTTTACTTTGTAAGTCAGTGAACCTCGTGCGGGTTTCATGTTCAAGTGCAATAAAGTTCGCAAGATGAAAATGGCTTGTGCTAATTGCACACGCTCAGCTTTATTTGGGCTATCAAATATTTCGTATTCGTGGTTCTTATTCATATTTTATTAGGCAATTATTGTGAATGATCGTAGACGAAATAAGTTTTGCAATGCAGACGATTTAAGTGGAAGTAAGAGCGTGTGATGGTTTGGAGTGCAAGATAAACAAAGAAAGAGAGAGAGAGAGAGAGAGAGAGAGAGAGAGAGAGAGAGGGAGAGAGAAAGATAGAGAGGGTGGGATAAATTACTTTGGATTTTACTTTGTATAAATAATTAATAGCAATTTCTGATTCACCGTATTAGGGAGGTAATGGGCCAATTGCCACTACCAAAATCTTTTACTACTCCATCTTTTTCAGAGAGCATAATGAATCTTGAAGGCTTTCTTTGTTCTGAATTTTTATGTATTTAATTTTTTCCTTATATTTAACTTATATTGAGGCACAAACAAATTTGATCAACTTTTCGTGTGCAAATTGTAAAATTTAATAAATACATAATTCAAGATATTCTCCGCCGGATGCGATTTCCATTGATTATCTTGCTGATAATCTTCGAATACCTTTCTAAAAAAAACTTCTCTATGCGTTTAATCAAATAATAAATCCATTCTTCGATTTCTTCAAAAGACCCCAATCGGTGACCACCCAAATCGGTTTGCAGCCATCGAAATCGAGATGTCAGAAGGTGCAAAATCTGGATAATACGGCTGGTGGGATAATATTTCCCGTCCAGCATTTTCAGTTTGTTTTTGACTATTACAAACCCCAGGAGCCAAGCTTTTTCAAGTAACAAAATCACCCTTTCATGCTCTCCGAACATTTCTCGCCCGTTTTCGCGCATTGCGCGCCACAAATCCATTAATGGTAGTCGAGGAAAGCATACCCGACGATTGGAACCTAAATGTTCTCTGCCCAATCCACAAAAAAGGCGATCCCACAGGCTGCGCCAACTGCCGTTGAATAAGCTTCCTTAACATCGCATGTAATATCGGGCGTTGGCTTTTCGTTATCAAAGACTTTACTATGGTGGAGATTCCAGTTTATCAAGAAGTCGAATTGCAAGTTGTTGACTTTGTTGGAATTTCCCATTTGCGACGATAACACCAGCAATGTCGCCTGGTTGGTCTTTTATAATAATAGATGGCGGTCGGAGGTAGTAGTGTCAACGCCTTTTGTGAAGCTTGAAATATAATATTTATGCCAGTCCATTAAACTGCGAAGCTTCTAGATATCTAAGGCGAGCTCTACATAAAGCTGGATAAAAAAAGGAGTAATGTTACTGCGTCTTACTCATGCTTTCTTCACTGCATTTCACACATGACAATGACACAATTAATAATGCTCTTTCGGTTTGTGTGTTATGCTAGTGGGCTGTGACTTCTCCTTTCTCCGTACTGCAATCCTTTCAAGAGCACTTAAGGAAAAAATGCACGGCTTTCTTTCAATCTTTTGAAAATTTCATTGTGTATCCTTTTTAGTGACTTGTTTGAGTATTTTCTGTACTAGTTTGGCAGCCAGGCGAATAACAATTTTAGCGATCCAATCAACTACTTAATTTTCTGGCTTCCCTGCAGCCGCTACATCGAGCGCCTCCCTGTTTCTAAGAACATTTTTCTATGCATTGAGGCCGCTTGACTGTCGACGTTTGGATTTCTTGGAAGGCATTGCAGTACCCCGGAATCTCCGCGCAATAGGTTCCGGCGTCCACTCGGTCAACCATTTTTTGATCCGTCCGTGTAGAAGCTGTTACCAACCTCACAGATTATTGAACATGGTAAGAGGATTCTTGTAGTAAATTCATTGAAACATGTGCAAAAACCGCTGGGCAGGTTGGCATACAGACCAGCACTGAACGTCATTCACCAAGAGTCAGTCAACATCTTCAAAGACTCCCTTCCCGTGAATAGCATACTCTGGGGGATAAACCACCACCTATCGCAGACAACGAGCTCGAGCTGCCATAAGAGACCCGCGTGGCACTAGTACAACTTATATCTGGATATTGTACCAGATTAAACTTCTACCTATCCATGGCACTTAATGTCTTTCGGTGGGACGTCGTGTACAGTGGTTATGTAAAACATTTTGGAATGTATACCATATAGTGCGATACAGCCTTTGTGATGTTTCTCTTGGAGCAAATTTTACTTCGAGCTGTCCTTCCTGGCGAAGTGCTGCAAAGTCCATTGCTTGGTCAGCATAACGGGGAGATTTTTAAGTGCCGGACTGCTTCGTTCTATTCCGTGGCTCGTTCCATGGATGATAACGTTCCTTCTCGTGGTTTTGGATTAAAATGTTTTAGATGGTTAGACGATTGTGCGGCTTAAACTTACCCTTTCAGATGCCTAGCCCTTACATATTTATAATATTTAATTTTTATTAATTTTGGATATCGCCCAGCATCATTTGCTCGAGAGGTATATATAGACATATAGATATATAGATATATATATATAAATTAAATTAAATTCTCAGCTGCGACTACCAATAGCCGACAAGGTTTTGCAATCTTATCAGACATTCGAAATACCTTAATTAGTCTAAAACAATTTATTTCGAATTAAGAACTTTAATTAGCAATCAAGCAGCAAACGAAAAGCTTTTAGTTACCGTTACTGCCAAAATTTTGTATTAAATCGAAATAAAAAAGTAACCAACATTAACCTACTAAATTTGCTGTCCACGAAAGTTCTACTGTTCTTTGTGGTTTACATGACAGTACACAGACATACACACAAACACATGTAAACCAACAACAAAAATACACAGACTGATACTAAATATTCTGGTCCGACTGATTTCGAAATTAAGGTTTTGTCCCTCAAAAGCAAATAATTGCAAAGCCAAATGAATGAGTGAATGAATGCATGAATGAATGAGTGAATGAGTAAATGAATGTAAATATTAAAACCGCACACAATTTGCATAGAAACAACAACAAATCGGTGTGTATTCCTTTGGGTGCGCAACCCCATCGCGCTCTCACAACCCAGCGCTGCCCAACATTTAGTCTGCTTAGCCTTTAAAGTTTATATTTTTGTTGTTGTTATTTACCCTTTTTGTCATGCGACGAGGCCACAACAACAACACAATTTCGCTCGCACTGTGGGGCACATTGTGGTGTGGCGCGTCCAATACACTTGCCATTTGTCAGTGCGGCAGTCAATTGTGACGACCCTGTTCGGTTTGCTGAGCAATGCTACTTGTTGTTGCAGGTTTTGTTTATTTGTTGTTACAGTATTACTATTTTTTTTTTTTTTTTTGCTGCTTTCCAGTTAGTTTTGCACTACTTTTGAGTGTTAATTTAGCAGGTAGCTACTGGACTCGCATTTCACCCTCTCTATCTCTCTCTCTGTCCTTGTCTCGCAGTCGTTGCTCAGCTTTGGCACTTTCAAAGAGCCAATTTAATTAATATTTAAATGACTTTAATGTGTGGGTAAATTTGGCAAATTATGACAATAATTTCGTGTTTGTTTAACTATTTATGTGTGTACACTACTATGTATTCTATTTTAATTTCTCTTTCGTTCTCGCCCCTCTCATTCCAGCTCATTGTCGAAATCAACAGTCAAGTGGTGCTCTTTCGTGATATGCTAATACACGTCGGTCAGGCGAGGGATTGCCCCGAATTGCGAGAGAAAATTCGAAAATTGCGTCGCACCTGCGTGGAGGCGTGTAAACACACAGGACAGATAATTATGCCGCAGGTGAAAAGGTGAGTGTTGGTGAATGTACCAACGAATGTTTGTGAATTGTGGGTGAATAAAGTTATTTGCATGTAATTGGAAAAGGGTAATTAGGAGGAATATGAGGGGAAAACATTACTTGGAGGCAGATAATGAAACAGGGGAATGGGATCTACAAGAATAATGAAATGTAGGAAATGGAATACTGTTTGTATTTATAATTCATAGTTACAATGAAAACTTCGAACATTTAATGACAAACCATGTATTATTTTGATAAAATAGGAAAGAAGAATCCTCGGATGAGAGATCTTCCTCTTGATGACGACCGCCGCACAAAAACGTTTTAAGGATCAAGATTTGAGAGCTGGCATCAGTAATGAACGCCACAACCCAACCGGATGATGACCTTGTGGGAATAAAATCTGTCATCACCGTTATCAAAAAATGAGACGAACGAGGAAATCATAGAAGAAATATGACCATTCACGCCGATGAATGAACATCTAGCCACGCGCCACATCATACCAAAGCTCTTCAACATATCGCTGGTTTTCTTTCGTTCTCCGACGGAAGAGACAGACGTTGTAAACAAAGGTACTTTCTCTGTGCGCCTCCGCCACGCTGCCAAAAACGTGCTTTTCGACTTGAGCGCTGGGATGGGCAAATACGCAATTTTTGGCATAACAGTCGGGAAATACAGCATCCATGACGGAATATTCTCAAACGATCTGAGGCTGTCTGACTTTGTCAGGGCCCGAAATGTAGTTGACTGTGGTACAAGGAATCGCAGCAAAAAAACCATCAAGCCATATGGATGTCGCCAGCTCAAAAACCACGCAACCAATTCGATATTGTTGGGATTGACGGGAGATATGTCCCAAGTATACCAGCTGTGCATTCATTCCGATGACCTCCAAGCGACTCGGATCACAATTTTTTCGCAGCGTGTATGCGCTCCCGCCCCTATGAGAAATTCGGAACGTCGTTTCAAACTCCCTAAGTACCATCACTACGGAACATTTGCTTTCAATAAAGTTACAAAAAGAGAACTGCTGTGGAGAGAAACAGACTGACTACCTCGCAACCTTGCGATCGACTGCAATATGTGTCGAGTGAGATAGCTAGTGGGAGCTAAAGAAAGAAGTAAAACGCATCTGTAGACAAAAAAGAAATCAAATTACTTGAGTGAATTCGCGAAATGTCAAGAGCATATGAACAGCGTTCAAGGCTGGACAGTAGCAGAGATAGCGTTAAGTAGATGGTTATCCCACTTTGTTGGCGCGAAAGCTCCATGCAACAGTAACTTGTTATTACACCTGCCATTATGCTAATAGAGATCCAGTCTAGGAGCACCTTATCTTGATCTTTTTGCGTCAAATATCGGCCATAGCTATTTGGTCACATTAAGCGTGAACTCATTCCGCCATCTAGGGATTGATTTCCGTGGACTGATATACACCTGCAAAAACCGTTTACTTTACTTCATGCATTTAATCGAGAGCTGTACGGTAGAGGTTCGATGACAGATTGCATGTCAAGCTCATATTTATAGAGAGCATCGGAGTGTGGATTCCACAGTCATTTATGCAATAGACCTTTGAGTCGTCTGTAAAGTTGACCATGACCCTCTGATGGAGAGTATTAATGTTTTCTCATTCGATCCTGTTGGAATTATTGTGGAAATGAGATTGTTGAGGCACACATTGGAAGTGGTGCAATCCGCATCTGCGGGAATTAAAATTTTAACGTGCTCTGTACTGTTATTAATTTAAGATTAAATTGTTTTTAATCTTATTGTCTCGCTCGCTTATTATTGACGGCCGCGAAAGAAGGAGGAGAGTTGAGAAGAGTTACCAGTGCTTTTGACTTGAATGCTGTATAAATCTAGATACAACATTCGGTTTTAGAGCCCATCTTTGTGCAATAACCATTTCCAATTCTCCATTTTCTCGCGAAATTTGACTTCTGTAGAAGCACTTTATTAGTGTTTACCTAAAAGGATGTAGTATGTACTTCCAGTGACGTGGTTAAAAGGACCATCTCAAGTTGAGATTCAGTCCGCTCTATCACGTATAAGACATTGTGGAGCAGATCACTTAAAGTATGGTAGTGTTTGCTTGTTGCCCGCTTGGGGCAATGGCTTCAACGCTAGACTGCAACCTGTCATCTTCAGTTTTTAAATCAACGCAATTTGTGGTGAGAAAAACTTTTACCTGTGGCCTCTCTCTCTTGTCCTGTGTATGGTGTTGTTGGGGCTACCTATCTGTGACCATCAAAGAGTTTCGAAATTCACGAAATAACGGTTTAAACGGTTCGTTAATTGTTTCAAATAAATGATATTTGCTGCACGGAGAGAAGCAGTTTAAAAGTTGTACGTTGCTTGCTGTATGGCTCTCAATTGAAGTTCAATCAAATTTATGCATTCTTTCTTGGCCGATATTTTGGAACTCAAAAAGTAATTTGTAGCCGCTAAAGCGATTTTCGGCCGCGCTCCTCTTTCAATTTTTGGTTGCTCCAACAAATGGAGGGACGCACATCCGCTTCCGAACGGCTGATGTTTTTTTCTGAAGAGGCTTTATTGCATATCCGAAATACACTCAGTGGAGTGGTCATTCCAACCCAAGGGGCGCCCGCAATTATCAATTTTACCTTAATTTATGTGTTTAAATTAATTTTATTTTATTTATTTTTATTTTTTAGAAAAAAAAAATCACAAAAATGATAAACTAAAAATTTACAACTACTAAATAAACAAGCTTTAATAAGGGTTCCAAAAACTTGTTTAAAAACTTTCAATTTACAAATATTTCTGCATTTATTCCTTTAATCTTTTTCGCAAAGTTCTGTAAAAAAACACAAAAACTTTTAAGTCCACAGCCTTTTTTTAACCCCAATTCCCACTCATTTTCATGTACTTTAGTGCAAAAAAAAATTTGTTTTCAATACAAACGTGTAATCGATATGCTCAAAGTTTGCAAAGTTCAGTCTATTTTTTTTTGGGGGTTTCGTCTAAAAATAACAGCAATTAAAAATTTTCGAAAATTTTTTTAATAAGTACCTAACAACATGAGCAGCAAACAAGCGGTTATTTTGGTATACATATATGGCTGAGTACGAATTTGAGGTTGCTAAATTTAAGCATACGAATATTCGATAAGCTTTTGTAGTAACCCTTGTTCATTTTCGTTTTGCTGTTGTTGTTTGGATTATATTATATTTTTATAGGAGATGAGTTAGCGTTTGCATATTTTTTATGGCAGGGTTTCTGCAGTTTGTTTTTCAAAGAAATTTTTATATTAAATTTTATAAAAACTTTATGGCCCTTTTCACGCTTTAATAATTTTTTGCTTAAATATGTTTGTATGACATATTGAATTTTTTCATTAAGATTTTAATATTTGTATGATATATTGAATTTTTTCGTTAAGATTTTAATATTTGTATTTTTTCAAATTTTTTTTAATGATTTTTTTACTGTAATTTTTTTTAAATAATATTTGAAATAATCTAAGTAATTTGAATGGCGCGTCAAATATTGATTTTTTTCCTTTACAGTTTATGACAACATTTTTTTGCAATTTTTCATTTCAGTTTTTATGCAAATTATTGCAAATATATTTTTACCACTGTGTGAGTCGTCGCCTGTAGTATAGTAGCGCTGAATTTTGATTATGCCTCTCTAACCAATTGCTCATATATTTATATATCCATATTAATGTATATGTATATATGTGTGAAATATGCTCTGCTTTCCTCAAAGCCACCAACACTCAGCCATTATTAAATCATATTTTAATCAACACCTCAACACGCAGTGGCGGTGATATAAAATATTGCCCACGGGCGCGCCAAGGCTCACTCACATGAAATGCACTGATACAACTGATTGAGATTAATAATTAATTTGCATTTGTGAAAGTGTGGTGGGAGAGGTTGAGGTGGCGTGGAAAAACTTACATGCAGCATTATAGTGGCATTCGGGTTGTCTGGAGTGGCATAATTTCAGTATTTAAGCTGAGTTGAGTAACATATGCACATATACATGCATCTGTGTGTATGCGCCCACATATGCTTGTTAAATAAGCACTTAAATCTGCATTTACCGCTGAACGTACATAAAGCTATTAAATTTGTATTAAAATATGAGTGCAGTGTCGTGTCGTAATTGTTTTCTATAATAGCTGATTAAATGTGCTTAATATGATTTATGATTTATTCAATTCGTGCCTTTCTCTACATAGAAATATATATCACTTTATTGCATAAAAATTTTTGACTATACAAATCGGTCTGGACATTTTTGATATTTTCTCAAAAGGCTATCAAAAGTTATATCAAACTCATTTTTGTCTCCTCAACCTGGCATTTTGTGTACCAAGTACTTTTCAAAATTAGTAGATTTTTTTTAGTTATGTAGCTGAGTGATATAATAAGTTATATAATATCAGCTTTAAGTTAAAAATATGGTCTAGACACTTATTTAAAATATTGCCTTAAAAACTAAGATCTAAATACCGATCTAGTATTGAAAATTACTCTTCCAAAGATTTTGCTAGCGATCTTCCTACACAAACCAGGACCTCTCCTAGAAGTATGCAATATTTTCCCTTTATTTGCTGCAAGTTTTTTTTGAAGTATGAAAGATAATAATATGAAAGCCGTATGCAGTTAAAGTGAAAAAAGGAAACAATGCCTAACTTTTGAACAATTTGTCCTTGCTCTACACCCAACATATACGCTTACCTTCATTTTCATAACTGAGTCAAACAGGCCTATCAATCTTTAACATCGATTTTTTTAATAAAAGCTAATATCTCTTCAATATCACATTTTCCAGAGCTGAAGCTATACTTGTTAGTTAGTTAGTTTGTTTCCCTGCAAACACCGCGACTCTTTCTTTCCGCGTAAAATATATACTCTACGCGGACAAAGGAGTTATCCAAAATTAGCCATAATCGATTCGAAAACCTGTTTATATTGCGATGTCCTTGGGCTGTATCATAGAATCCCTATCCGTATGACACCC